TTTTATTATTCTAGTTATACTAGCCCTAGATAATTTCTCGCTAACCTATACTTTTTATATATTTATAGTTTATATTAATTATAAACGACTTTATATTATCGAACTTCTATTATTCCGCTTATTTTTAAAAAAAGTAAATAACTATATAATTAGTATTAAATTAGTACGTATACTAGATATATTATATACTTATTATAATATTAGAATAGCTATTTTTTTATATTTATAAAGAAACTTACGTATATTCGCTTATTTACCTCTTTTTACTACTATAATATAAGAGCTAAGGTCTAACTTTCTTTAGGAAATAGAAGAATTTATTATTTATAGATAATATATTATAAAAAGTCTATTTTTATAAGGCTTTAATAAATATCTATAATTATTTACCCCTTATTCTTAGCTATAAATTCTTAGAGTTAAAGAGATTAAAAAAAGGCGTTTAGACTTATACTTAGTTTATTAATCCTCTAGAGAACTTAAAAAATATTTTAAATAATAGTTTTTAGAGTTTTATTTAGTAATAGTAGAGGATAGTTATGTTTATTATAAGACGTTAAGATAATAAATAGTATTATTTTAATATCTTTTAGAATAAAGTATTAATATTTAATAAAATACTTTATTACTTTAAGTTTGGGTAGTAGTTTAAAATAAGTTTTATTTAGTTAGTAATAACTTAGCCTTATCCCTTAATAAAATATTTAATAAGCTTACTATAAGTAGGACGTTTTTAACGATTCGATATAAATATATAGTATTCTTAACCCCTTTTTTCTATAAATTACGTATCCATTTTATTTATAGCTATTTTAATATATTATATATAATATTTCTAATTTAATAAAATTAGATAAAAGTAGTAATTTATAAGTTTTTACGAAGGATACGAATTTTAGTATAATAAGATTTATTACTAAAGATTAATAAGCTCTTATTAAGTTTTTTATAAGTTATTTATATTATCTTATTAAGTAATCTTATATATATACTATATTATATTTTCTTTAGTTTAAAGAAGTATGTTATATTCTATTCTTAATATATAACGCCTTTTTTAAATTTAGCATATACGGTATAAATAGTACTTTATTTAAAAAAAAAACGATTAGAAATATTCTTAAAACGTTTTTAAAACGTTTTTAAAATATTTTTTAGATAACCGGACTTACTTAATAATCTTTTTTATAATATTAAATATTTTAACTCTATTTCGTAGTATATTATACTTTTTAACGAGGTCTTTTAAAATAATTATATAATAAAAGTCGTTATAGGGTATATATAGATAGGCTTTGCTACTTTAATAGGTATAATAGTATCGCGTTATAAGTACATTTCTTAGAATAATACTAGTTATTAAAAAACTAATAATACCTCGTTAAGTATTATATTAAATTTACTATTTTTTAATAATTCCTAATATTAAGAAATAGAAAGTTAAATATACTATGTCCTATAGCTACTCGATTTCTTTTATAAATAAGGCTTTAGTTAAGATAATAAGCGTAATTCTATTATTAGTAGTTAGAGGAAACTTAAGTATGCCGGCCGCATATTAAAGCTATTATACTATAATAATACCTCGGTTATTTTAAGTTTTAGTATAAATATTTAAGCTATTAAAAATAATAATATAATTATCGGAATTATTATCTATAACCTAAATATTATATTAATATTTAGTATAGAGGTTTAATTTATATAATACTTACTTATTTAATCGACTTTTTATAAATAGGAGCTCGATATTTATAGAGATTAGGATATAAAGTAAATGCGCTATTATAATCTAAATTTTCTTAAATATTTTATAATAAATTAAATTTGCTTTACTAAAATAAAAGTATTAAAATAATATTATTATTATATATAATAAATAAGTTTTATAAAAATAATTTTATAGAGTTAGTTATAATAAGCGAATTTTAGTATAATTAAGAGGAGATATAATTAAGAAATATTTTTAAAATAATTTAGTAAAGCGTAAAGTAGTATATTCCCTTATTATATAAAACTCGTAATATTTAAATTAGCAGTAAAGCGATTATATAGTAAAATATTTTTAGCCCGTAATTGGCTAAAAATTTGCCTAGGGATCTACTAATAACTGAGTACCTACTATTATATACGGGACTTTTACCTTAACTAGGGGGGGTTATTATCAGTTTATCGAATCACTTATAAGAAGGCGAGTACACTTTCTAGTCTTTCAACGGCCGGGAAGGGAACGCGCAACACGAGCTGCGGCGTGGGCGAGGAAGGGGGCGGATGACGTGTTTTCAGATATTGAGGGTGTGGCGCAGTGCCATGGATTGTGGCACCGGCCCAGCAATTGGACTTTTGTTCCTAGGCATTCACGCATTCAAGGCGATGGATCATGGCTGATTAAACGAGCTTACCTTGAACGAACAAGGATCCAAGCAGCGGATAGTGTGGCTAGAGAGAAGGCGTTTCATAGCAGAGAGGGGGCGATGCGTTGTTCATTGTTTGTTGGGTAAGGCATAGTGATGTGATCCTGGCCTCACTTGGATCTCGGGGCGGCCTATTCTCAAGAGTTGAGAAACCGTCACGTGATGGTTTATCGGAATGAGCGACAGGCATTCCGTTTGAAGCTCATGTCGTTCGTGAAAACGAGAGATCTTGCCAGTCCAACCTTGGTGATGTCGTTCCCCGATAACCCGGAACTCCAAGTCCCGATGCTGCGTCTCTGTCGAGAATGAGTATATATAGCGACTTTGCTCACCAGAGAGCAGCCAAGGTCTTGGTGGGTTTCGAGTGGGTTGCGATACGACGGCTGGGCTAGGTGGAAACGCGGGCAAAGCCAGAAACTCCGTGGGGATGCGACATGTATAAGCAAAATAGTCCAATCGCTCAAGACATTGGAAGTTGCGATTTACCATGGTGAGGCTTCATCATGAAGGTTGAGAAGAATTGTTGTAAGAGAGACGTTGAGAATGGCCGGCGCGTATCGCAACACCACCTTTGCCTCCCGGAGTGGGGTTTTCAAGGTCTGTAAATAGACCGCTAGACCAAGACAATATGTTTGAATAGCCAAGGAAACCCGTAATTTCCCTCCGATATTCTCCGTGCCTATCATCGACTAGGTTTCGCAACTCTGGATGTCGTTCGGAGTCAACGACGCTGGCGGCCCTTAATGCTAGGCTCCGTCCCGTTGTCCGCCTTCCGCGTATAGTAAACACCAAATATAGCAGTTCATTTCATCAAGGCGAGAACTCGCCGTGTCAGTTAGTGCCTTATTACCTTCCGTACGAACACGCCATTCATCAAGCGACTGCTTAGCGGTGGCGGTCATGGTCTCGACATCGGCCGTGGCTGAAGACCGACGTTCAGCGCAGGAAAAGGCCCAAACCAAAGAAAAGCCTCCAACTCAAGGCGACATCCAGCGTCTTGCGTGCGAAGGGACGATCCTTGCTGAGGCCCACGGAACGTGTTTAAGCTTTCTCGAAAGAGTTACCGACACTGCCGTGATAGCCGTGCGCTCGGTCACCCGAAGTCCAGCATACCTCTTCTACGACGGGCAATAGATGGGATCGCTGCGGTGCATTGTGCTACAGCACGACGGGCAGGGAGGCCGCGGCAGTGTGGAATCTAAGACAAAAGAGTTGCAGGCGGTGCGGCGCGGTGCGATGCATGTCTGTCAGGGGAATTTCTGGGAATTGCACCAAGGAGATAGCTGAGTCATCCACGCTTTAGGTAAGCAAAAGGGCAGCACGGTGTTTTTGCACCAGGGAGCGCCCGACCGGGCCCACTCCGGCCATCTCCACCCGGGGCTTCGATCCGCGAATAACTTCAACCCCCAGCATCGTTTTCCATTTTGGAAACCTGTCAGTGCTTGTCTCAAGCACCTCAAGCTCCTCGACTCGCTCCGGTCTCTCCCGCTACGTCCCATCACAAGTGGCTCTCTTCTTACAGATTTAGATCATGAGGTTGCTGTTCTCCAAGTTCAGATAAACAGAACCTGTGGTCTTTGCCAGCGCCGTCGGTCTGACTTGGCACTACCTTTATGAGGATCTCTAATAAGTCAGTGCTGCTCAACCTAATCTCTCTGCATCTGTGTCTGGACGGTAGCCTTCTCGAAGATGCGGCTCTACAGATAGCACGCCTCGCCCTTCCTGAAAATAACTTTCCCTCCGTCTGAGAAAAGGGCCCCCACTGCGCATGGATGCGTTTCCGCCTGTTGCTCTGAGGCATGTTTCACCGTCATCCCGCCGCTTCTACTCGTCGATCTCCCGCACAGCACCTTTCCCTTACCGCCGCACCGCTGTCCCAGAACGAATGAGAAGAAGAGAATCCACCACCACTTCCCGTCAACCTTTACGCAGCAGGCACTGTAGAAGGGGGAAAAAATGGATGGTCAGGATGTATTCAGACGTCTTTTGACTCGCCCACTACGTTTTGGCCCCTCTCTTCTCTCACGGCGCAAGAGCCTCTCTGTGTATCTCCTCTCCCATGTTTCCCTGGTATCGTGAAAGGTATGTAGTAAGGCTGATGGGTCCACCATGCTTCGGGACGGCCGCGCGCCGGGACATAAGTGTCAAGCTTGCTTCCCGCGGGTCCTCCCACGTCGAAAAGGCTCCACGCGTCCTTCACAGATAACGGGTCGTTACGAGGGCCTGGAAAGAAAGATGAAGTTGCATCAGGAGACAAAACACAACCGGGCCCAGAAGAGACCCACCTCCGGTGCTTATTTTGGTCGTCGTATTGCAATGCTCCATCCGTTGATGGCAGGCCGAAGGTTCTATCCTATGTGGTGGTAAACCGTCTGACCTTGGCAAAAAAAGTGTCAAGACATGCCTCCCCCGCCTCTCGGACCCGGAAGGTTGGGTTGAGACTTGTCAGTATAAGTATTACTAGTCGGCTTGTTCCCGTAGATCGTCGTCCTGGCTTGAACCTAAAATTCCAAGTCTTCACTTTTCCTTTCTTTTCTTTAACATCACCGGGCTGGCTTCCCGTTTCGCTTCGCCCGCTCCCGCACAATGCAGCCGACGAGCTTCTTCACGCTCGCCTTTGCTGCACTAGCGGCAGCGGCTCCACCTCTTATGGATGTACTCAAGAGCAATAATGATACCTTGAGTACTCTGACCTGTATGTTCTTCCATGGGATAGGCCGTGTATGGGCAAGAGATCGTGACTACTAACACCACCAAATAGCACTTCTGGCGATGGTTCCAGCACTGAACCAGACCCTCGTTAAAGCCAAGGACGTCACCATTCTCGCTCCCTCCAACGATGCCTTCGTCAAGATGATGCAGATGGACCCTACGTTTGCCCAAAAGGCGACCAACGCAACCTTCCTCGCCGATCTCCTAAGCTACCACGTCGTCAGCGGCAAGACCACGGCCACCATGTTTTTCGAACAGCCCAAGTTCGCCCAGACCCTCCTCGAGATGCCCACCGCCAACGTCACGGGTAACCAAAAGGTCGAGCTTGTCAGGAAGGGTGACCAGGGCAGGGTATTCAGCGGCTACAAGCAGATGAGCGTCATCACAAAAGCCGACGTCGCCTTCCAGAACGGCGTACTTCACATCATCGATACCGTCTTGACGTTCCCCGGATCCCCCGCCGACACGGCTATGAACACGGGCCTCACGAGCATGGCGGGCGCGTTGATAAAAGCTGGGTTGGTCGATGGTGTCAACTCTTTGCAGGCCGCGACTGTCTTTGCACCGACGAATGCTGCGTTCCAGGCTATTGGGGCTACGGTCGCGTCGATGGAACCTGCGGATCTTGCTAGGATTCTACAGTATCACGTTCTCATGAACCAGGTCCGGTTCACCACAGGAGTGGCGACCAAGATGGGATATAAGAGTCTGATGGGCGAGAAGGTTTCGCTGCGGAAGGAGGATACTACCGTCTTTGCCAACTCTGCCAAGGTTACTATCAAGGATATCATTACCAGCGACGGTGTTATGCACGTCATTGACAGGTAAGCATGTCTCGCTCCATTCTCAGCTCACAGCTTTCCAGGTTACTTACATGCGAACAGTGTCCTCAACCCAGCATCACCCAAGTTGAGCCCAGGAACCTCAACGGCTGCCTTCCCCGGAGCAGTTCAAGCTGCCAATGCCCCCTTCACTGACGGTGTCAAGCCGACTGCGAATTTCACTCCGGCTGGGGCGAGTTCGAGAAGTTTTGATGCCTCGCTCAAGTTTGCTATGATGGGGTTCATGGGCTCTCTGGCTGTTGCGTACCTGTAAGTAGAGGCGACGTAGTGTCTCACAACAACTCTCATTCTTTGAAGCTCTGGCGAGCAGACATTATACTTGAGAAGAAGTGTCATCTTGTTTCTCACATAATTACATTTAATTGGAGTGGTATACTGCTATGGTTGATACTTTAACCGTCCGCGATGTTTCAGTCGACTTTGATGAGCACCCAGTGGCTTTGAGTGAGATGTCATGCATGAAAGAGGGTCGAATCTTGGTAGCGCTTTCCTGCTCCCCTGCATTGGATGTGACTGCCCAATTGCAATGGTGAGCGTGAGATGGAAGGCACATTTGGTAGTGAGGTACTTTACATCACCTCCACTTATGTCAGATTGATGCCCCGTAATGTGATTACAACTTCACCACATCTTCCGACTGCATATAAGCAGGAGATTTCTTTATTGGCACAACCTCGTCCCATGCTGAACCAGAAGGACCGCTCAATCATCCCATCGTTTTCATTTGCCCTCACGCAAGCCTCCAAATGTGGCTCATCAACACGTCATCCCACAACCTTGAGGAGTTCATCGGCAGAGACATACCACCCTACGCAATCCTTTCGCACACATGGGGAAAGGATGAAGTGACATTCCAGGATATGAAGGATCCAAGGTTCTTAGTTCGGGAACAGACTATCAGGAAGGCCGGCTTCGTCAAGATCGCAAAAGCCTGCGGGCTAGCTCAACAACAAGAGCTGCAGTACGCGTGGGTCGACACGTGTTGCATCGACAAGTCAAGCAGTGCTGAGCTGACGGAGGCCATCAACTCAATGTTCAAGTGGTATCAGCGAGCAGCCATCTGTTATGCCTGGTTATCTGACCTGGACCCCTCCGCCGACATTGACAGCGACTTCGACGGTAGTGGAGACTTGGGTCAATGTCGCTGGTTCACGCGGGGCTGGACCCTCCAAGAACTCATCGCGCCCAAGGAAGTCGAATTCTACGACCGAGACTGGAACCTCGTCGGCTGCAAAAGTGGTCTTGTCGACCAGCTCCACGCTATAACAGCCATCGCCAAAGATGTCCTCGGCAACCGCCATCGCGCTTTGTTGCACACCTGCGTCGCCGAGAAGATGTCCTGGGCCGCAGGGCGGGAGACAACACGTGTCGAGGACGCCGCGTACTGTCTTATGGGCATATTCGGTATCAATATGCCTCTCTTTTACGGTGAAGAAGAGAAGGCATTTCAAAGACTCCAGAATGAGATTCTGCGCGAGAGCGACGATGTGACGATCTTTGCATGGGAGAGAGCCCGACATAGACCGCCGCCAGATCAGTGCTTCTTTGACAACGGCCGGAATTTCGGCGGCGTGCTCGCCGAATCCGCAGACGACTTTGCCGTTCACCGCCATCAAAGAAAGATCTATCCGCCGCCTATCAGGCGACCGACGCTTGAGTTGACGAAGAATTGCATCAAAATTTACACCGAGCTCGTCTGGGAAGAAGCGCCCGAAGTCAGCGGACGCCGTTATTACATACACTGTGGCTCTCGTGGCGAGAAACACGTTGCTATCCGCCTCGTTAAAGTCGTAGGCGGCTCCTTTATACGAGAGGCTCTGGATCAATGCGCCTCAACTTGCATTTTCCACATAGACGCCCAGCGCCGACGAGAGTTCAGCCTGCTCGTCAATACCTCGAGCTATCCAATTCGCCTACTCAGCCACGGCGGATGGGACCTGGTCAAAATGAAATTCCGTTGCCCCAAAAATATGAAGGTCGCAGAGGCCTGGCCATGGTCGAAGTGGCACGATGAGGAACTGGAATTCGTGGCGTACCCGACGCGTCTTTGCGGGTCTATCCTCTTTCACGTTTACCACGCAGTCCCCTCTACAAACCACGAGGCGATCCCCCGCGGAGACTGCAGGACAGATATTGTCTTCATTTTCAACCCGCACGAGATTCACAGTGACATCCAGGAAGTGAAGGGAACCCTCCTTGAGAGATACGGTGAATTTCAGGCAAAAGTGGACCATGTTCACTCTTTTCTGAATTCCGAGGAGCCTGATAATTTGGGCTTTAATGACCTTCTCACGCAAATTGGCTTACCCACGTCCAGTAAGGTTGCATTCGACTTGGGAACGTCAAAGCGGTCTGCTGTACTGTCATTCACCTCGAAGAAGCTTACAGTTCCCGTGATAGGCTCGACCTCCCCAGCCTGGGAAATCACGTTCGAGATGAACGAGACTAAAAGATTCAGCGGATCAGTAAAGCACAAGAAGTGGCAAGCCGATTATTGATGTCTAATGGGAGGCTGAAAATTCGAGCTCAATAATACTGATAGATACTCAAGACATAGAAGAGGTCTGGTACAGTATCGGCGTTGCATAATCATGCTCATCAGGATATACCTGAACAGATGCTTGAATCTCTGCATGGTACCGCATTATCAGTTACCATCTTCATATCCCGCTATCCAAGGAGGTTCCTGAAGGGAGATATATTGGGTTTCGATTTCCGTAGGCAGTTGATCAAATTGAAAACCCAATCCTCCGAACGATACTGTGGGACACCTTAGGACTCCACGGCTCTTATGGCGAGTTTCGATATTGAAACCAACTTCCTAGGGTGCCGTGTAACACAATACAGGGCTCAAGCATCACGGTAGGAGACGGGAAATTCTCTGAGGTCAAGGGATGTCTGCCCATGGACAGGTCTATTCTCGGTAGAGAGGCTAAGTTAAGTGCACTGAATAGTACTTCTACGAGCTTCTAGCCTCTACCTTCATGGTGAAAATCTAGATATCACAGGCTCAGATAATGACGGCGCCCGAGCTACGAGTATTTAAATAGTGATATCGAATGTGTACCCTTCTGGTGTTCTACAAGATGCAATGTGGTTTTGTGTTGTATCAGGTACATTGTCCTTCGCGATCTTGTTTGAGGAGAAGAAGAAGGCTGTTCTGTTGCCGGTTTTGTCTTTGGCCGTTGCGGTATCACCAGTTGGCAGTTATCTCACCAATACCTACCCCTCGCCATCCTCTTCCGAAGCGGATTGGGTGCTCATGAGTTCCCAATGGTTAACATGCGCATAGAGCACGCGATCTATACTTTCGTCCCCCTCGGTAGGTCCGTCTGAAAGGCTCAAGAAATTCTTGGCCTCGTCTCCAGAGAGTCCGCCAGTCTGCCGGCAAAGCCGGTACAAAACGGATGTTGATAAGTATTTGCCGGGGGTGGCCCAGAGAGCTACGCCTTTTCATCTTCTTCTGGTAATAGAACCCAAATATTCATAACTGGATACACCGGGGATGAGTAGAGAACACCTATAGAACAGCGATGATATGCCATACCTCGTAAATTACCACCAATGCTGGATAAGCTCGTCTTCGACATGGACGCAAAGCAGCAGCGGCACCTCAACTCGCTCGGAGCAGAGGTCCCTTGCACACCAGAAACGCACTGTACAAGGGCAGGCTGTGCGTTGCCTCATAGATCCTACCAACCTCACAACAGGCAGGCTTTATATCAAGATACCACCCCCCCCCCCCCCCTTCGCCCCTCGTCCTAGATATACTCCATTCAGCCCCTCCATCGTCATCTTCAAAGACGAGACGAGCGCGACGGAGACTTCATCAATACTCACTCTGGCGCTCGAGTACCTCGATGAGAGGGAGCCCGAGGCGCCACTTATGCACCCCATCGACATCTACGAGGCACGGCGGCTGTTATTGCTACAAGTCTGACGGGAAGCACGTTCGATCTTCTCTTCATAGCCAATCTTGTTTCTACATCACAAGATTGCGGCTCAAAGGGCTCATACAGAGGTTTGTCGTATACAATGAGTTCATTGTAGTACAGCTTGAACCGTGACAAGAATAGCTACGCTTGCCTGGCAAGCCTTGACAAACCTCAGCGCATCGACGTCACGATATATCTTCAAGCAATGCTTTAAATCTGTATAATTACCTCTTTCTTAACTCGTAACCCGGTATATACATGCATACAACAACTCACGTCATGAAAGACGGTCCCCAACGGAACGATTGCCCCGCACCCCAGAGTCCCCTGAAGCAGGATGATAAAAAAGAAAAGAGTCAGAGTGCCCCTGATTGTGAGGTATCCAAAAAGGGGCTTGTAGGTAGAGAGGGAAAAGCAGACCACGCAGTTGAAAAACCAGAGGGAAACAGGATTTGAAAAAGAGAAGAAAAAAATTGGAAGATGCTTTTTGAACCGGTTATGACTCCAGATAAGTTTGAGTGTCCGCGCCGAGCCTTTGTGAATCTAATCCGCTCCTTGATCATTGGACGCCTGAGCCCCTTACATGGTGGGAATACCCTCGTACTCGGCGTAGCCGAGGGCGAGGTTCATGTTCTCTGTGGCAGAGTGTTAATATACTTGCTTCTTTCGAGGGGCCTAGATAGAGGTGGGGTTGACTTACGAAGACATTGAGTTGCCGCGCCCTTGAGCAGGTTGTCAATGGTAGCGCAAACGACGACGCGCTTGCCGCTGCTGTGGACAGCGAAACCACCAATCTCAACACCGTGCTTGTTCATAATGTTCTTGACCTGCGGTGAGTCGCCAATGACCTTGACGAGCTTCTCGCCGGCGTAGCGGTCCTGGTAGATCTGGCGGATGTCACGCGAGGTGATGGTCTTGTTGAGAGGGATGTGGATGGTGGCCTGGATACCACGGAACCAGGAGGCGACGTGCGGGGAGAAGGCGACGTCGGTGCCGAGCTTGGCGCTGATCTCGCGCTCGTGGATGTGGTCAGTCAAGCTGTAGGGCATGAGGTTGTCCTTGAGCAGGTTGACGTCGTTCTTGGGGGAGGGCTTGGTGCCGGCGCCTGAGTAGCCAGAGATGCCGAAGACGGAGGGGGAGCCGCCGAGGTGCTCGACGAGGGGCGCAATACCAAGCTGCGCAGCGGTGGCATAGCAACCGGGGTTGGAGATCTTGTCAGCCTTGTAGATCTCGGAGCGGCCGGTCAGCTCGGGCAGACCGTAGGTCCAGGTGTTGTCGAAGCGGTAGTCAGCGGATAGGTCGACAATGACACTGCGGTGGTCGGCACCGCTCTTGCGGGCATCAGCGATGGCCTCAATGTAAGGCTTGCAGACACCGTTGGGGAGAGCCATGACCCAGCAGTCGATGGCGCCCTTCTTCTCGAGCTCGGTGACCTGGTCGGGGCTCAGGTTCTCGTAGGTGATCTCGCGCTTGGTGTAGCCCTCAAGCTTCTGGCCGGCGAGCTCACGGGACGAGACGTGTCTGAGGTCCATGTTGGGGTGCGCGTTGAGCATCTCAATAAGAGCCTGGCCGGTGTAACCACGGGCACCGATGAGGGCGACGCGGGAGGGGACGTCGTTGGAGGCGTTCTTCTTGCCCAGAGGGGGGTTGGGGTTGGTGGTGGTGTAGGTGGCGAAGGTGCGCTTGCCCGAGAGAGCAGCGGCAGCCGGAGCCCATGTCGGGCGGCGAGCCATCGTTGAGAAGCCACGGGCCTGAGCGGGGGTGGAAGACTGGTTGAGGTTGCGGCTCGAAGTCTGGGCGGCGCGACGGAGGCGGGCCTCAAGGTTGGAGTCGCCCAGCATGGCTCTACCATGGGCGTTGAACTCGTCGGTCAAGACGCCGAGCTCCTGGAGGTTGTCGATGCCGTACCAGAAGAGTTGGTTGCCCTTGCTGGAGAAGCTTCCGTCGGCCTTGTCGAAGAACCAAGTGAGGTTCTCATCCTCCTCGCTGACGGTCCAGACGAGCTTGGGGTGGTCCTTCTTGATGGCGTGGAACACGTTCTCGGTGACATTGCTCAACCATCCCTCCTTGGTGACGGTGAGGGTGGCCAGGGTCGGGTGGGATCGGTTCTCATTGGGGGGCAGAACGATGGCGAGGCAGTTCAAGGGCTCGTCGTAGTAGGCCTTGAAGGGGGTGCCCTTGAGGAAGTCGATGTAACGGTCGACGGTGGCCTCAGCGTCCATGCCCTCGCGGTCGCGAATGAGGGTCTGCTTCAGCTTGGCGAGATCGGGGAACGATTCGATGCTGTCGGAAAAGGCGATCTTGTCGCCGCGGCGAATCAGGGTACCCGCGCCGGAGTCGGTGAACAACTCCTTCTGCAGGTCGCTGGGGTGGATGATGGCGACGCTGGAACTGCGGGGCAAGGTCTCGAGAAGCTCCTTGATCTCCTTGATCTTGAGGCGAGTGCCGTAGCGGCACCAGGATTGAGACATGAGGTGGTCGTACTCCTCGTCGAGGTTGATGTGGGAGATCTTGTCGCCAGTCTCGCCGTTGAATAGACCGCCCTTCTCGGAGAGGTAGACAATCTTCAAGGGCTCCAGTGCGCGGGCCAGCTCAGCCGCAGCGACATCGGCGTTGACGTTGAGGATCTGACCCTCGGTGGTCTCGGCCATGGAGGTGAGGATAGGGACGTAGCCCTGGGAGATGGCGAGCTCAACGGGGGCCTTGTCGACGCTGCTGATCTTGCCGACGAGGTTCCACTTCTCCTTGTCGAGGTAGTCGGCGGTGAGGACGGTGGTCAGAGGGCGGGTGCGGACGCCGAGGCTCTCGAGCTTCTCGACGAGCTTCATGTTCTCCTGGAGGAAGAGCTTGCGGGCAACGGTCAAGGTCTTGCCGTCGGTGACGCGGATACCCTCCTCGAACTGGGGCTCGACACCAGCCTCCTCGAGGAGACGGTTCAGCTGGGGGCCCGCGCCATGGACAATGACGGGGTACAGGCCGACCTCGTAGAGGAAGGCAATGTTCTCGCAGAGGTCATCAATGTAGTCGGTGAGAATGGCACCGCCGACCTTGATGACGGCAAACTTCTGGGACGAGACGGAAGTGAAGTATGAGAGGTATTGCTGGCCCTCGCGGCGGCTGCCGATCTGACTCAGTGTGCGGATGATGATGGCGCGGGTACGGTCGCGGTTGGCCTGCTCGGACTGGGAGCTGGTGGAAGAGAGAGCGCGGATGGCATTGAGGCGCTGGAAGGAGTTGTTGACTCGGGTGGCGGCGATGTTCTGGCGACGAGCGACACGAGGCACGGCGCGGCGGGCGCCGGCCCGAAAAACGGCAGAGGTTGCGGAGAGCATCGCGACTATTTGGACTTTTGGTGGGAAAACAGGTCAGCCAGGTTGCGACGTCAACGAAGAAAGCAATTGAGAAGCAGAGATGTGTGTTGCGTGGTCTTCGCCCTCGTCATCTGCTCTCTCTGCCCGTGCTCTCTACTATCGGTATCGTATTCCCTCGTCCTCGGTGTCGTTGCGGTCGGCATCCCGAGGAACGGCGGTAGAGCAATGTGGAGGTGGATGAACTCGACGAGAGGTATAGAAGGGTAAGGGAAGACGTTTGGGTACAATTCAAGGTGCATGAGCTCCCTCACGGAGCATTGGAGGCCTGGGTAGGGTAGAGAAGACTCACACACACACAAACACCTCACACAACAGACCCAGGCAGATTAGCTTCGAACTCGGTCTGACTGACTGACTCTCTCTCTGACTCTTCTAGCTGCCGGGAAGAGTGTCCAATTCCAGTTCAATTGAACAGCCCGGGAGGGTATAAGGGGTGATTGACGGGGGAACGGAAGAAGGTAGGAGAGAGCAAGAGAGTAAAGGAAGAAAGAGGGAGAGAAGGGAGAGCGTAGGTGTTGAGGAATCGGAGAGACGAGGCTTTTTACTTTTTGAGGCCTGCGAGACTGTGACTGGACGTTTTTGGTGGTGTGGTGGGCGGTGGTGCGGTGCGTGGGCAACAGAGCCGGTATGATGCAGTGGAGGTGTGGAGGAGGGGCAGGGGCACCGAGCACCCAGCAACTGTGCAGGGCCGCAGGCAGGAACCTGAGCGGGAAGCAATTGGCAGGCACCTTCCACCTCAGCCAAGGGAAAAAATCGACCGGTACCGCTCTCCGCTGCCATTGGCAGTCTGCATTGGCTCGCCGCCGGCCGCCCACACTTCGCATCCGCATCTGGGGCGCCATCTGACAGCTGGCAGCTCATCGGTGACATGCGATCGCGGCGATTTGGGAAGAGCTAGGTACCTTAGGTATGTGCCGTTCAAACAATTCTCTCTTCTTTCTCGATGCTACACTCTTCTCTTTCGTGCTTCCGCCTTTCCAAATACCATTCTACTAGAATGTCTCCTTCTTCCCAGTGTCGCGGAAACCTCGAGCAAGTCAAATCCCAACCAAGAACCACTCCCGCTGCACCACCCGTCACCACCACCCTCATCCACCCGTCGAACCTCAAAACGGGAAAAAGCGCCCCATCACGAGTGGACACCCCGGTTATTGGTCGGATCTGATAAGGAATCACCCCGGTACGTACAGATCACCAAATGCGTGTGCTGGGCCACCGGGATCTGCAGCAGCCATGCACTTTTTTTTTTTCTCTCTTCGCTGCACTGCACTGCACAACAAGCTAAAAGAGGCATTTCCGTAACCTAGAAAATGTTACTTGAAAATTTCAATTCTTCTTCTCGGCTAGGTGGAGTAATGGGGGAAGAGCGAGAGCGCCTGACACGAGCCGAGGCAGGCCAGACATCCCATCTCATCTCAATCGTTGAAGATGTTCCGGACGTTGCTTCTTGACTGACTGCTGCTTTTTTAACATCGTGACCGTGCATATGTAGCCCGGCAAATGTCTAGACCACACATGAAGAAAACAACATACTGGCAACCAACCAACACGCATCTAAAGTAAACCGTCCATCCTCCCAACAAGAATCCCAAAATGCATTGGCCAGCTTCGTCTCTCTCCGTGCCCTCCCTCCC